CCTCTGTCAATCTCTCTGTTGTTGTGAAGGTATGTGTATAAAACTCTATATATACATAGATCTGTGTTTTGTATGTGTGTGTGCTTATGTGTGTTGATTTGTGGGTATATGTGTCTGTNTCGTAATAACACAGTGAGAATAAACTTGAAAACCGACTGTTTCTCTAAAATATCCTTCCTTTTTGTGTGATAATTGGTTAAAATATTATTTTGGAACCATTTGAGTGCTGGAAACTACTACACATACCAATGTCCTCAGTAAGTTAGAGGTAAAGGAGCCAAAAATTTATGCCTTCCTTTTTGCCAGTTGGTCAAGTTTCAGTGAAGCTTAAGTGGGCTAGATGTTGCATCATCCGCCAAAGAACTGGAGAATGAATGGAATATCAGACATATGGCAATTTGTGCATAAAAGTCACAGGGAGAATTTCTTGTTTGTGGTACTAACAAATCTTTGGATTGAGAAAAAATGGAAGGATATTAAAATGTCAAACTACAGATGATGTCGAGATTTTTTTTATTTTTTTACATATAGTAGTATACAAAGAGGATTCCAGTTTGCAGAATTTCATCAGGCTTGGCCCCTAAGTCTGTGAAATTGCGTTCACTAACACGAATTCCCCTTTTGGTTAGAGTGTGCATATTTAGGTTCCTACACATGCTCCTATTTTAGCATGCAATCTTAGAGATATTGCTACGATTTACCAATATAAATAATTAAATAGCAGCAAAAATATATTTAGAAATTTCATCCCACATGTGGTGATTATTATGATTATCTGTAGCAGAAAAAGCACTATAGACTTTAGTTCTATTTGGAGATCTGTTTAGAATTGTAATATTTCAATTCTTCAAAGGATTATTTAATCGATGCATGCTCGATCAAATTTTATGAGTTAATTAAAGCAGAATAAGAGACAAGTGATTTTCTACCAGCCCACCCTTTCTGGTTTTGCATCGAGTGGACTGGTGGGGGTGTTGTTTCAGTGTAGGGCACTATCCAACAAACATCGTTGTTGCATCAAAGTTTATTTGAGCATCAACGCATGTTCTNTTGTAATAACATAGTGAGAATAAACTTGAAAACTGACTGTTTCTCTAGAATATCCTTCCTTTTTGTGTGATAATTGGTTAAAATATTATTTTGGAACCATTTAAGTGCTGGAAACTACAACACATACCAATGTCCTTAGTAAGTTAGAGGTAAAGGAGCCAAAAGTTTATACCTTCCTTTTTGTCAGTTGGTCAAGTTTCAGTGAAGCTTAAGTGGGCTAGATGTTGCATCATCTGCCAAAGAACTGGAGAATGAATGGAATATCAGACATATGGCAATTTGTGCATAAAAGTCACAGGGAGAATTTCGTGTATGTGGTACTAACAAATCTTTGGATTGAGAAAAAATGGAAGGATATTAAAATGTCAAACTACAGATGATGTTGAGATTTTTTTTTTTTTACATATAGTACTATACAAAGAGGATTCCAGTTTGCAGAATTTCATCAGGCTTGGCCCCTAAGTCTGTGAAATTGCGTTCACTAACACGAATTCCCCTTTTGGTTAGAGTGTGCATATTTAGGTTCCTACACATGCTCCCATTTTAGCATGCAATCTTAGAGATATTGCTACGATTTACCAATATAAATAATTAAATAGCAGCAAAAATATATTTAGAAATTCCATCCCACATGTGGTGATTATTAGCAGAAAAAGCACTATAGACTTTAGTTCTATTTGGAGATCTGTTTAGAATTGTAATATTTCAATTCTTCAAAGGATTATTTAATCGATGCATGCTCGATCAAATTTTATGAGTTAATTAAAGCAGAATAAGAGACAAGTGATTTTCTACCAGCCCACCCTTTCTGGTTTTGCATCGAGTGGACTGGTGGGGGTGTTGTTTCAGTGTAGGGCACTATCCAACAAACATCGTTGTTGCATCAAAGTTTATTTGAGCATCAATGCATGTTCTCTTCATTGACTACAAATACAGACAACCACAACACCATGAACTTTACCCGCTTGCAAGAAACTCCCTTCAATGCTTCGACAAGCCTAGGCTTGAATATGGGACGACCTGTATCTCCGTGCCCACAGCAGAAGGATGAATTATCTCCACACATGAAAACCTGCATGAAAAAATGAAAATCACATCACTTGTAGCAGCCACNATACAAGTGTTACAACCAAATGAGTTTTCTATTTTTATTTTCAAATTTTTTTACAACTATAAAAGCAATCAAACGCGTTTTCTGTTTTCATTTTATGGTGACAAAAATCTAAAACTGATTATGCTTTTCATTTTTTTTAAAACCAAAATTATAAACGTTTTCAAACGAGCCCTTAGCAGATGATTGATCAAGATGACAAAGAATAAATTTTCAATAGACTATNAAGATAACAGTTCCTCTGAATTTGATGTTGTGGGTTCTTTGCCATGTGCAGGAAGGATGCTTGTGGTACAAGAACAGAGGTTGCCAATTTTGAGGGGAAAACACTCTGTGCTTTATTTCTTGTGACTGTGCAGTCGTGGTAGCTTGGTAGATTGGGGGTTTGTGGAATAAATTTTGTTTTTTTTGTTATGTTTTGAAGGATTAAAGTCATTAATTTGTTGGTGTAATAAGGGANTAACACACACGTGTGCAACAACTAATAAATTAAAATATTCATACGAGTTTTATAAAAAAAAATTCATAAAAAATAGGGCCGACTTAGTAGTTTTACATTCGGAGTCAAAAGTGTAAAGGTGTCAACAATGTTGGCCAATCGAATTCGCTGTGAAAAACTATTCAACCTGCAAACGATTCATTTAATTAAATAAGTGAAAATCTATAAATCGAACATAAATTGTTTATTAAACGGGTTATCCGACATGATTCGTTTAACTAATTTAATATTTTTTTTATTATAATNAAATTAAATTAATTTATTAAGTTGCAATAGCATTGTTGAAAGAAAAAAAAAGTTTTGTTAAAAATATTCATTGAAATGGTTATCAAACATGTTTTTTATTTTTATTCTCATAATTTGATAAACACAAATGACTTCCAAACATGTTTTCTGTTTCAGTGTTTACCATAAAATAGAGACAAAAAATGTCTTTATTTTTAATTTTTTTTAAGATGCGAAAACAAAAACGTTACCAAACGACCCCTAAAAACGTCTAACGCGCGTTGAACAATAATGAAGTCAAGAATCGAACTTTGTTAGTATAAAAAAACCTACTTATTGGCCACCCATATAAATATCCCAAACCCTAGCCCCTCTAACCTCTCCAAAGCTTGTTCATCGCCTGACTCCCCCTCCCCCCCTCTCTCTCTCTTGCTCTCTCAGCCCAGCCTCTTCAGAGTCTTCGTCTTCGACGAGTTTTTGGTTCTCCACAAGGTAAATAGTTACTTTGCACATCTATTCTGTGATCTGTGATCTGCGATTTGGATTTTAATTTTTTTTAAAACATTGATTTGGGTGATTTGCTNGCTACTTTGCACATCTATTCTGTGATATGCGATTTGGATTTTAATATTTTTTAAAACATTGATTTGGGTGATTTGCTGGGTTTTGTGATTTTTTTTTATAAAAAAAATCACTATTTTACTCATTTATTGCTTTTGTGTTGTATTGTTGAAATTTTTGCTACTGATTTTTTGTGATCTGGGTTCTGATTTTTTATTTTATTTTATTTTTTTAAACGTTGATTTGGGCGATCTGTTGGGTTCTGTGATTTTTTTTTTTAAAAAAACACTGTTTTGCTCATCTATTGCTTTTGTGTTGTATTGTCGAAATTTTTGTTGTTGATTTTTTGCGATTTGGGTTTTGATTTTTTTTTCAACACTGATTTGAGTGATCTGCTGGGTTCTGTATTTTTTTTTAAAAAAAAAACACTGCTTTGCTCATACATTGCTTTTGTGCTGTATTGTTGAAATTTTTGCTGCTGATTTTTTGCAATCTGGGTTTTGATTTTTTTTTTTTTTGAACACTGATTTGGGTGATGTATACAAGCTAGTCACAAAAAAAAAAAAATACAAGCGTTACAACCAAATGCGTTTTCTATTTTTATTTTCAAATTGTTTTACAACTATAAAAGCAATCAAACACCTTTTCTGTTTTCATTTTATGGTGACAAAAATCTAAAACTAATTATGCTTTTCATTTTTTTAAAAACTAAAATTATAAACGTTTCCAAATGAGCCCTTAGCAGATGATTGATCAAGATGACAAAGAATAAATTTTCAATAGACTATACCAAAACAACAATTTAAAAATAATTCATGTGCAACACATGTGTGCAACAACTAATAAATTAAAATATTCATACGAGTTTTATAAAAAAAGTTCATAAAAAATAGGGCCGACTTAGTAGTTTTACATTCATAGTCAAAAGTGTAAAGGTGTCAACAATGTTGGCCAATCGAATTCGCTGTGAAAAACTATTCAACCTGCAAACGATTCATTTAATTAAATAAGTGAAAATCTATAAATCGAACATAAATTGTTTATTAAACGGGTTATCCGACATGATTCGTTTAACTAATTTAATATTTTTTTTATTATAATAAAAAATAATTGTAAAACCTTTATAACTGATCCAATTATTAATCTGCACATATTATTCTAACTAAAAAATTGAATAATTATTATTATTATTTATTTTAATTTTATTTAAACGGATAATTAAATGGTAAACTAGTTGATATATCTCACACAAATATAACTCATTTATTAAAGGGGTCTAGTGCGTTTAACCATACTCTTTAAGATTTTATCCAAACTCATTTAACTATATATCAATTTATGACGATTAATCCTGTCGTATGGGATCACACTTTGTCAAAATCTTTAACCGGACGAGGAAAGGTATGTGTGTGTTTATTGGGCTGTAAAACTTTTGGGTTCTACGCGGTGAGTTTAATGACATGCCCGCCCCAACTAGAAGTAGGGTTTTAGAGTCCTCTGAGCCCTCGTTTGCCGATACTTCCCAAAGATACTGGAGTGCTGGGGTGAGAGAAGATGGCGAAGAAGAAAGAGAAGTCGGTGAATGTCTCAGGAAAGCCGAAGCACGCCCTTGATGTTAACCGAGATGGGAATGCAAGCAAAGGCAAACGCAGCGCCTCCACGGTGCGGCGGCTCAAGATGTACAATACGAAGCCGAAGCGTGACAGTAAAGGCAAGATTGTGAAGCACGATTTGCAGTCCAATGAGTTGCCATCTACTCGAATTCAACCCGATCGCCGATGGTTCGGTACGTAGTTTTTTTTTCAATTCAGTTGATTAGAATTGTTAAGTGTCGTATATTGAATTCAATCGTATATGTTTATGTATTATTGCCCTGTATTACTCTTCCATGTTGTTTATTGAGGTCAAATTGGTCCATGGGATATGCACAAATCAATAGATTGAAAAAATACGTGCTATTGTGGGACACATGGGGCTTGTGCTGCGGATGGAGGGGTTAGAATCTCATCAGTTATTGTTTGAACAATAAAATAGGACTAACAATAAAAAAGGGTAATTTGGTTTCTGATATGTATGGAAAAGGGACTAACTCGTATATACTCTTTATCTTTGTCCNGCTATGGTCTAAGTCTAAGAAGTCCCAGTTTAGATTTTATGTGCGCACACACTTATTACTTCCATTGCTCGAGGTTATGCGTAGGCAAATGCTATCCTATGCCCTTGGGCCACTGGTTAAGATCCAAAATAAAAAGGTAGCTCACTGGGGGGAGAGAGGTAGTGGGTGACAAATAAGAGAGAGTTAGTGGGGCCCATAAGAGAAAATGGAGAGGGGAGAGAAGTTGGGAGAAGCTGGCACTCCCCTCCCGTTCCTGTTGTCTTGGCTCCTCCTTGCCGGTGTGCCCCCTTTCTTTCCGCCAAATATCCCCTGTTCCTTGTTTTCCCCCACTTTCTTTCTCTGTTGTCCCCCACTCTCTATCACGAAATGTGGCACTTTTTTGGGGGGCGGGGGGATCCAAGGGCACCAATTATAATGACCCATATATTGATACGATCTGTTTTATCATAAGATGATGGTTATGAATGACAATCATTCTCTTTTTATGTTTCCATCTTTAGTCGTTTTTGTACCTGGACCTCCTTAAGTGAAGATGTCTTAGCAATCATACTGCTGGACAAGGGCCAATACTTAATTTTCGGTTCTGAAATCCCTTTTAGAACATTAAATAGTATTTGTAGGCCGTTTTGATTAAAAAAAAAAAAGAAGAAAACAAAATATATTTGAAAGAGTCGGATTGTGATAATGTAACAGCCTTTCGTTTTCATCTGTTAATTTTGATAATTTGTTTCTGATGTCTATTCAGCAAGCAAGAGTTCATCTTCTCGATACGGAGCCTTTTGCAGATGCATTTGGACCTAAGAAGAAGAGGAAGCGTCCAAAGCTGATGGTATCAGATTACGAGGCACTAGCTAAGAAGGCTGATGGTTCTCAAGGTAAAAGAATATGATTCATATGTTAGGGGGCCCGTGTTTGCTTGATTAGCCGCCTTTTAATATTCGTATTCAGTCTTTCTTAAACATAGTGCACAACAGTAAAGATGCACCAAAGGACAAAAGGTTTCTTATTTGTTGCTTAATGGAAATGTTTTATTTGACTTTTTAGATTAGCTGTTTGGTCTCAATGGTGCATTTCTGTAGCCTAAATTGGCTGTGTACGCATGGCATTTGTTTGTCAATTGTTCAGATGCATTTGAAGAGAAATATGGTGCAAGTGTATCTACAGAAGGAATTGAAGATGGATTCAGGGACTTGGTTCGGCATACAATATTTGAGAAGGGTCAAAGTAAACGCATATGGGGTGAACTCTACAAAGTGANGATATGGTCTAAGTCTAAGAAGTCCCAGTTTAGATTTTATGTGCGCACACACTTATTACTTCCATTGCTCGAGGTTATGCATAGGCAAATGCTATCCTATGCCCTTGGGCCACTGGTTAAGATCCAAAATAAAAAGGTAGCTCACTGGGGGGAGAGAGGTAGTGGGTGACAAATAAGAGAGAGTTAGTGGGGCCCATAAGAGAAAATGGAGAGGGGAGAGAAGTTGGGAGAAGCTGGCACTCCCCTCCCGTTCCTGTTGTCTTGGCTCCTCCTTGCCGGTGTGCCCCCTTTCTTTCCGCCAAATATCCCCTGTTCCTTGTTTTCCCCCACTTTCTTTCTCTGTTGTCCCCCACTCTCTATCACGAAATGTGGCACTTTTTTGGGGGGCGGGGGGATCCAAGGGCACCAATTATAATGACCCATATATTGATACGATCTGTTTTATCATAAGATGATGGTTATGAATGACAATCATTCTCTTTTTATGTTTCCATCTTTAGTCGTTTTTGTACCTGGACCTCCTTAAGTGAAGATGTCTTAGCAATCATACTGCTGGACAAGGGCCAATACTTAATTTTCGGTTCTGAAATCCCTTTTAGAACATTAAATAGTATTTGTAGGCCGTTTTGATTAAAAAAAAAAAAGAAGAAAACAAAATATATTTGAAAGAGTCGGATTGTGATAATGTAACAGCCTTTCGTTTTCATCTGTTAATTTTGATAATTTGTTTCTGATGTCTATTCAGCAAGCAAGAGTTCATCTTCTCGATACGGAGCCTTTTGCAGATGCATTTGGACCTAAGAAGAAGAGGAAGCGTCCAAAGCTGATGGTATCAGATTACGAGGCACTAGCTAAGAAGGCTGATGGTTCTCAAGGTAAAAGAATATGATTCATATGTTAGGGGGCCCGTGTTTGCTTGATTAGCCGCCTTTTAATATTCGTATTCAGTCTTTCTTAAACATAGTGCACAACAGTAAAGATGCACCAAAGGACAAAAGGTTTCTTATTTGTTGCTTAATGGAAATGTTTTATTTGACTTTTTAGATTAGCTGTTTGGTCTCAATGGTGCATTTCTGTAGCCTAAATTGGCTGTGTACGCATGGCATTTGTTTGTCAATTGTTCAGATGCATTTGAAGAGAAATATGGTGCAAGTGTATCTACAGAAGGAATTGAAGATGGATTCAGGGACTTGGTTCGGCATACAATATTTGAGAAGGGTCAAAGTAAACGCATATGGGGTGAACTCTACAAAGTGATAGACTCTTCAGATGTGGTAGTACAGGTAATTGTGGCGCTATTTTATTTAATTCTTCTTATTATGTTGGGGGAGACGTGGGTGGGGAAGGATCAATTGCTTCCAGTTTGTATTTATTTGTAGAATAGGAACACAACTTTAATATTAATACCTCAGACTCTCAGAGTCAGAGACATGGGCAGGATAGCTATTCCTTGTCATCATAAACATGCTTGATGATGGGTGGTAACATTTATGCCTTTGGTTATTAATGTTCCATTTAGGTGACTAGAATCATCTAATCATTACTAGACATTATTTNTCTTTAATTCTTCTTATTATGTTGGGGGAGACGTGGGTGGGGAAGGATCAATTGCTTCCAGTTTGTATTCATTTGTAGAATAGGAACACAACTTTAATATTAATACCTCAGACTCTCAGAGTCAGAGACATGGGCAGGATAGCTATTCCTCGTCATCATAAACATGCTTGATGATGGGTGGTAACATTTATTCTTTTGGTTATTAATGTTCCATTTAGGTGACTAGAATCATCTAATCATTACTAGACATTATTTACAATAATTAAGTTGTATCAAGTGATTCAATGGAAGAGTAGATAGATGGATTTTTAGCACCGTCAGATTTAGTTGTGGCCAATAGTACCTCCTAACAGTCTAACTTGTTATTTTACTCGTTGATCTAATACATGCCACAATTGTTTGAACCAAGTTCCATCTTCTCTGCCCTCTGTTCATAGTCTTCGAGGAAAAGAAAATTACAAATAGGTGGTACTTATGTTTCTACTTGCAGGTTTTGGATGCTAGGGACCCCCAAGGTACAAGATGTTATCATTTGGAGAAGCATTTGAAAGAGCATTGCAAGCATAAACACATGATTCTTTTGTTGAACAAGGTCTGTTGTTTTCTGATTTTCAAAATTTCTCTCAGATTATTAAGAGCTGTCTGCCATCGTTATTTCCTTATCATGTGAGGTGAATTGAAAAACTATTGCCTAATTTTTGCAGTGTGATTTAATCCCTGCTTGGGCAACAAAAGGATGGCTTAGAGTGTTATCCAAGGAATTTCCTACTCTGGCATTCCATGCAAGCATTAATAAGTCCTTTGGTAAGGTATGCCACTATATTTTTATGTAATGCATATGTACAAAACAATAATGCTATTGGGACCTAGTAGCTTGATCTAATGATTTGTCAGCTCGGGGTCCTAATGAAAAGTCTAACTTGTGTAGTTACAAAGATACTATGGGACCATGGTACTTGGCACATCATTTCGTCAAGAATATTGAGTCAGATTATTAAGTTCCAATAGCATTGCTCTGACTATTCAAAAAGAAAAATAACATTATTCTGTACAAATATATGCCCCCCTATAGAGTGAAGATGGAATGGGGATATATAGAGGAAGATTATTGGAAAAAATTTCATGATCAGTGGAGTACTTGGCTTCCAAGAGACGAACACAATTCGAAGGGTGGATGCACTACCTTGGAAACCAATACCTATAAGCATCATGATTGGATGTTTTCAAAATGTATGATTTGTATGATTTTTTCATGACAATTTTCATAAAAGTTTTAGATCTCTATAACAGTAACATGAGCTAATGGATCATTTTATTTTAGACAATATAAATATTGAATGCGAGGCAGCTTTTTTGAGTATCAAGCTCTATCTTTTCCAAGCTACAGTTTCAAAATATTCAATGGTTCCTAGTATTATTATTTTTTGCTAAGACGGAGAATGAAATTGAAGACTAACAAATGTAAACAGAGGAAAAAGCACACATAAATTTACGTAAGTGTTGCACAGAACTTGAGAAGTTTGCACTTTGTAACTTTTTAGTCTAGAATGTGTTGAGGATAGCCACTTATTTTCTTATTGCATTTTTTTTAATGTAGAGTGATGTTCAACTATCCTGCCAATCCTTTTTTTATTTTTTTGAATTTTTTCTTGTAGGGTTCTCTTTTGTCAGTGTTGAGACAATTCAGCCGCTTAAAAAGTGACAAGCAAGCAATATCAGTGGGATTTGTTGGGTATCCCAATGTTGGAAAGTCATCAGTTATCAACACACTGCGAACAAAGAATGTAATGATCTTCATTATGATTTTTCTCTGGTACCCTAGTACTGAGATCCATATGCATTTTGTTTACTGTGAAGCTTATAAATGGGTTTTGATATATTCAAATTTTGAATGCTGATAAGAAATAAAGACAAGTTATTTATCTCATCTTTCCTGCTCTGTAACCATCCTTTTAGAACTGCATACAAGAAGATTGTATGAACATTCGGATAATTTCATTTGTCTGATTGCCCCTTGTGAGAATATGTTTTACAACAGGGAACACTGTGATTGTAGAGACTTCTAGTTCTTCAAGGCTCCTATTTGAATTTGGTTGATGACATATATTTGTTCTTTTTCTTTTCCCTTAATGATAGTGCAAATGTCTCATGTTGTGAAAAATTTCCCAAAGTACATGGGTACATGCTTACCTGCATTGTTGCAAGAAAATATGGGTGATTATGAGAGCTTTTGGGTAAGGGAGTTTTATATCCATGCATTTAAACATTCTTATTCTTTTTTAGGTAAACTATTTGCATTTCATTTCTTCTAAACAGGATATTCCAGAGAAGTTTTTACTTATCATAGAACATCTCTAAGTACCCCATTGTGTGTGTTATTTTGAAAACGGGTGGTTGACCTAGTACAACAAGCTTCTTGCATTTGTGGCTTTGGAGCTGTGATTTTTCTGTTGCAGTTGATGATGCTCCAGTTGACTACCACCACAGTTTATTTTGTTAACCACTCATGGTGCACTACTTTGCGCAATTATGGTATCCTTGCATTTGGCCTAGACATAATTGTACATCTCCAATGCTGTTTTCTCTAACTTGAGAGATCCCTATTGTACGATTAGTAAGGCCATCACCTAATGTTTGACTTTGCTTCCCGAGGGTACTAGGAGGGATAGAATGGATATAATTAACTTTTTTCCCTTTGTTTGCACAAAATGATTGTTCTCATACTCTGGAATCCGTGTTCTCATGGTTGGTTGTCCTAGCTTCTGTCATTGCTTGTTAAACAGTGGTTGCATGTCTTAATGGAATGATAGAATTTGAATCTTGATACTTGTATAATTGTATTTTCTCTTTTTCTACGTTATTTTTCATGTGAGAACCATTCTCTTATTAGTTTGGTAGTTTTGAAGGATTGCCTTCAACTGTAGGATAATACACCTTTAAATTTTTTATTTTGGAATTTATGTGATTCATTTTCTCATTTCTTCTTGGAGTTAGATTCATGCTCATTTGGGGATCATTTTACCTTATGTATTGTTTCTTTATGAAAAAGGTCTGCAAGGTTGCTCCTATTCCCGGAGAGACTAAAGTATGGCAATATATAACTCTCACAAAGAGGATCTTCTTGATTGACTGCCCTGGTGTAGTTTATCAAAACAGCGACTCAGACACTGACATTGTGTTGAAGGGTGTGGTATGTAACTTCTGGTTTTGCCAGCATATCATTTCGTAGTGTTTTTTTTTGTTGTTGTTTCTGTTTGTGTCATACTTAGTCAATGTGTCCCTTGCCTTAAAAACAATATTCTCTTAACGTTCTTTAGCAATCGATGTGCTAAAATTATTGATGGATTGCCCAAAGTTTCTTAAAATTATTGATGAATCCCACTCTGTGTATATGGATAGGTGTATGTCTTTAAGAAAGGTTGCAATTCTATTTATACAACTTCCATTTGTAGTTTAATTGTGCAAAGCTCGTTGACAATCTATTTTCCAAACCGGTATGCTAAATGATCCTTGTGTCCAGGTACGTGTCACAAATTTGCATGATGCCACTGAGCATATTGGTGAAGTTCTGAAACGCGTGAAGAAGGAGCACCTAGAAAGAGCATACAAGATAAAAGAATGGTGGGCTATTTAATTTTTGTATTTGGCATTTAATGCAATAATAGTATGATTCTAAATGTTAATGGAATGTCTAAAGGATCACGGTTCTTCCCATATTTAGGTTGAGGAGTAGTTTCTTCTCTTTTTTCTCTTCCCGAAGTCTCGACAAATTTTGTGACTCCAAAATGCATATTCTTTCTAGATGATGCAAATTTGTTATGTATAGTGTGCCCACAGATGACTGAATATGCTTCTTAATCAATCCTACGTGTCAAAGCTATGAAGTGCATAAAACTTAATGGCATTGGGCTTATAGTTTTTACTAACATTGTTGACTTTTCTTTGTTGTTTGTCTGTTATATCAGCTTGGGATTTGCACCTATTTTTGCCTTTGATATGCATCCAAACGCAATTGTACATGTTACACAAGTGTAATTGAGTTTTAGCCTGACCACACCATATTGTGCTGTGTTGTTCCCAGGTATGATGAAAATGACTTTCTTCTTCAGCTATGCAAATTAGCAGGCAAGCTTTTGAAGGTAATATATTACATGCTTGCAAATTTTGCCTACTTATTAAGACTCGAATCAAATATAAAGGATCAAGTACAGCCAGGATGCTATTAGGTTAACAAAAATCCTGAATCAGATGTCAAATTTTTTATTTACGTAATCAGAACGGAAATATTTATCTACTTGGTTTTGTGCTTTTGTAAATTAGATGTTGGTAAATGGTAGAACAAATATGAGAGTTGTAGAGATACAAAGACTTGAGGACTTTTGTTTATTTAGATGTAATTAAACAGGCAAAGCCAAGATTAGTTGACCGCTTAAGCTTGGTTCTGCGACCTTAATCCTCAGCTTGACGTGCTGAGTACTTCGAGCCCCCTTACCTAGCCTTTGGAGAACTGAGAGATTTTGAAACAGTGGTTTCCTTGATCTATAAATGGTTTTAGACCAATTGCTATTTGATGATAACATATGCACTATGTGAACAGTTTAAAATGGGAAGTGTTGAAACTTGTTTAACATGATTTATTCTTGAAGTCTAGCAACCACAACGTTTTATTACTGAAATTCTTCATAATTTACTCAACACAACAACAACATTAGCAGACAATAAGGCTGTATATTTAAGTATCCTGAAATGTTGCAGCAGACAACAATGTTAGGAGACAATAAGGCAGACAACAACTTTAGCAGACAATAAGGCTGTGTGTTTAAGTATCCTGAAATGTAGCAGCAGACAACAACGTTAGTAGACAATAAGGTAGATAACAACTTTGGCAGACTAAGGGAAAAGTGTCCTGAAATGTACTAGTTTTGATGGGCTGTGTTTAAGTTTGTCTTGCTAGGTAACCAAGCTCTAAAATTAGTGGAAAGAAGGATCAAGCTCTGCTTATTTCACATCCATGAGTTGTGACCAAACATGGTCTAGGCTGCCAGCAACTAACTTTTGTTGACATCCTCTTAGAAGCACCAACACTTCTAAGAAAGTGATGTGACCTTTATAGGCACAAACACACCGTTTCCATAATTAAAATTTAACAATTTTAATATCAGAGACGTGTCCACAATGTTTCATTATCATTAAGACTAGTCTTGTTAATATTTACCCAAAAATGTACAGGAAAAAATTGGAAGACATAAAGGTTTTACTAAAGAAGAGGACTAGGGAGGATAGGACAGATTATTATATTTCTATATTGTGCTACACTGTATCTATGAGAAATTGGTGATTAGTGACTACTTTTATAAATTTATTGAAAAGTTCATTTTAGAATATTTGATATAAAAATTACATGTCATGGAGTAATAATTTTCTCATATTGTAGAATTATATCAATGTAGATATTGATAAACTATTTATTCTCATTATGGAATACAATTATTTGTAGTGTGCCCTGGTCTTGTCCGTATGTACTCTTTTACGCTTTTTCCCATGTTCGTGTTGTTCTGCATAATTGGGTAATCATCTATTTCAAAGTTCTGACTGGTCAACAGAGCAGAATTAATTAGTTACATGATTTCCTTTCCAGGGAGGTGAACCTGACTTGATGACTGCAGCAAAGATGGTTCTACATGATTGGCAGAGAGGTAAAATACCTTTCTTTGTTCCACCTCCAAAGGAGGTGCAAGAAGATGAACCATCGGAGGAACCCAACGAATCTGGCATAGAGAACAATACAGTGGTGGATGATAATAAAGAATCAGCAGCTAAAAGGGCCATAGCTGATGTTATCTCATCCCAGCAGCTAAAAGACGTCCCTGTTCAAGAGGATCTCTTTAGCGAGAATGAGTTAAGGGGTGAGACGGCTGAGCAACTTCCACCCATCAGCTCATAAAACTTTTCTGCTGTTGTCATGTTTTATAAGAGAGAGATGATGCCTTAGATTAATGTTCTATTCTCAACGCTTGTTTTTTGGGTTTTATTTTTGGGAGGCGGGGGCAGGTTGAGAAAAATCGATGCAACTTTAGCCCTGTATAAGCCCAGTTTCATCAGCATGGTATCCTTGTAAGATATTTGCGGAGTAGTGTTGGGAAATGCTTTGAATCCTGTAGCTTGGAATAGACCTGTAGTTTTCCTGAAGTATTGTACCATCAAATTTTACAATTTTTGTGGATTTTGATAGAAGATTTTGGGTTTGTTTTCAAATGTGTGAGAAGGAGACTTTCGGAGCCAATGGCCTAAATTTGTTTGATATGAAGGGCTTAATTTGGTTGTAGGCTTGCCATTTGTTTGAGAATATTGCTGTTCAATTGTCGATATCAGTGACCAGCTTCCTCAATNGTTTGTTTTCAAATGTGTGAGAAGGAGACTTTCGGAGCCAATGGCCTAAATTTGTTTGATATGAAGGGCTTAATTTGGTTGTAGGCTTGCCATTTGTTTGATATGATGGGCTTAATTTGGTTGTAGGCTTGCCATTTGTTTGAGAATATTGCTGTTCAATTGTCGATATCAGTGACCAGCTTCCTCAATAAATGTCCAAATAGCTTGTTGCTCACATGAACAGCAGTTAGTAATAATATGCTTTTCATTAGTGTTCCATGTGCATTCAATTAAGCTGCCGGACCCATTGCTGAAGTATGGCCGATGCAACGAACAGAACCGGTGGTTAGGCTTTGGATTGCTGGTGTGAGTTGTGCTAAGGTTTGTGTCTAATCTCATAATGAGTTTGAGGCCCTCTTGTCTTCAACTGCACATTGTACCGAGCCGAACTTGAGGAGCTAGATTTTTTTATATACAAGTTAAACCTAAAAAATTGTTTAAGTTTGGTATATTTAGAGCATGAGTTCGAGTTAAGTACTATCCGAGTTGAGTTCGAGTAATTCATCTTGCTTAACATTCCTATTTTTAAATTTTATCTTTATTCTCAACGGATTTGTCTCTGATCAACGACGATAACATTTTATTTATTTTGTTTACAAATTAGGTCAATCAACTTGTTTCAAATAGTAGTACCCTTCTTTAGAAAAAAAAAATTGCATTTCTAGAGTATAGTGGAGGAATATGATTCATATAGCTCATCCTACTATGTAAATGAGATAAGATTTTGTGAAGTTTAATAATAAATTTTATTTTTATTTTTATTTTTGCAAACAACGATTATTTATGATTAATGTTATGCTTATTACTAAATAGTTTTACCAAAAAATTTTATCAAATCAACGTGGATGATTGGATCAATGGTTTGTGTTAACTTTTTTTGACTTGAGTACATATCTAACCAATTCACATTCATTTAGTGAACTTTTCAACAATAGATGTTTAATCAGCGTAGCATTTTCTCCTATTTATGTACTATTTATAGTCTCCCTTTTGCTTTCAGGACAATGATTTTTCTTTTCTTTTCTTATTTGAATATCATTCATGGGGAGAGAAAGTGTGAAAGAGAGGTATGGGTTTTACTTTTGCTCGATTATTAAAGGTATGGGTGGGTTGTCTCTCACTAATTTTTTAGGGTTTGTGGATAAAGTCATATTCTTTCTTCTTTTAGTCTCTGGCTGGAGATAAAATACCCATACTTTTTTACTACTTTCTTACGTGGGTCTGGAATTGTGGTCATATGTCATCCATAATTACTATTTTAACTCTTTCTTTCTTTCTTGTTCTTATATTATTCTGGTTAAAGTAAGATGTGCGTGTGTGAAACTTCTGTTTCTCTAAGTTGTACAGACTTAGAGACGTTATTATGAATAGTTGGGTTGTTGTACCCTATAAGCTGGCATGTTATTACATCGGTGAACTCACCCGTAGAAATGTGAGCCGTCTTAAAAAAAAGTGTGGCCTAATTTGCGCCTCAACCTTGTCATATGTTACTTATTTTTCTTGTGGATCAATTTTAACAATTGTTGAGATAAATTCTGTATTTTTCTTCCAACAATACCAAATCATTTATTTTACGAGTCTCATGGATTTAACCCCTTATCATCCTTCCTCACTAAAAAGAAGTCTAAACTTGTTGATTCTATGTTTATTTCGTATCGAATTTGTGTATCGTGCCTAAAATCAAATCCAATTATTGCAAGCAATTTTTCCAATATGAGTTCACTGATACTAAGATTCAATTTCCTCGTGCTAAAGGCCATGTTGACAGGAGAAATATTGATGGCTCCCCCTCACCATCCTTTAATGGACAAATTATTGAATGTAATAGTAACACCACGTTAAGGCAATGTAATAGCTGCCAGGTGATTAAATACAATAGGTAAGCTCTTTTTGGGTATGTAATTTTACGTTAATACTTATAACTAGGGTTGATAATTGAGCTAAACTTTGCGAGCTCGAGCCAAACCTGTCAAGCTCATATTTTTAAATGAGTTTAAAAAATTGTTCAAGCTCGATTTATTTAAAAAATTAGTAGAGCCTGAGCCGAGCCCAAAACAAGTTGAACCTAAGCCGAGCCCCAATAACTCGACTATTTTACGTATAAAGAAGTTGAGTTTTTTAAGCTCGTTTTTTAAACGAATCTAAAAAATTATTCAAGTTTAGCTCAAGTTGAGCTGGAGTCGAATCTGAGTAGGTCGGTTCAATTATCAACTCTAATCATAACTCATACCTGAAGGCACGATACAACATAAAATCTGAGCATTTAAAAAATGATCCCACTATATTAAATAGTAATATTTTTCATTCTCTTTCTTTAATTACTAATTTGAAATCAATTTCTTCCCATTATTTTAAAAAAAATAAGAGTAATACTAGTTGAATCTAAAAATTTGATCAAATTTGTTGACATAATGATATAGTTTCGTAATAATCATTAGATTAACACCAAATTCTAATATTTGATGGGATTTATAATAAATCCAAATATCATAGTGAATTAAGTTTCAATAATATTGCTAAAAAAACAATGGATACACTGTCGTGATGAACAAATTAAATGATTGTATTAAGTTACAAATTAATAAAAAATTAAATAATTAAACTTGATATAGGAACGAGTGAACGATATAAATGATCCAAAAAAAAATATGTGAAAACAAAATTCACAAGTGTTAGTTATGTTATTAGATAGATATCAATTATCCGGGCCCTTTGGCCTACCATCTAACCAACAAATTGCACCATGCGTTCAATTCTTTTGAAAGGTCGTTCTTCTTTTTGGACCCCTTTCCAAGTCAAAGGATTGTCTAATGGGTACCGGTCTTACTCTTTACTTTGAAGTTGAGAATTCAAGTTTTGGAGTCTCTATTAGGGTTTGATAGTTAGCCGTTATGCTAGATTAGTTAGGTCTGATCCTAAGAGGTGTTTCAAGCATGCTCAAGAGCCTTATGATCCTATCAAGGTGATCGTTGGATACTCTTCCTTATCCCCACTCCTATTTTTAAGTACCAAAAAACAGAAAGTGACGATTTGAATTAGAGAAACACATGGCCTCCGAGACTCTTTTATAGATTGATTGAAGAGCTGCTGGGAGTGACAACAATATAGTCATAGTCATAGTCATAGTCACAGTCACGGACGAGTGAAACAACCAGAGGGCCTTGGCCTAGACTAAGGTTCCGGATTTTTTTTTTCTATNACAGTCACAGTCACGGACGAGTGAAAGAACCAGAGGGCCTTGGACTAGACTAAGGTTCCGGATTTTTTTTTTCTATAGTGTACGGGTTAAGTTTACTACGAGTTTTTTTATAATTTAGAAAATTTTCAATTACACCCTTCTAATATATCATATCTCTAAAAATATCCAATATCAAAAATATCACTCACTCCCCTTACTATTAAACCACCATTTATAACAAAAATAAATTATCTAAAATACCAAAATTATTTCTACATAAACATCAAGCAATTTTTTTTACATAAAATTTGAACCAATTAAAATTTGACCTGATTAAATTTTTTTTTTTACATATTAAAATTTGAGTCAATTAAAATTAAAATGTATTTTTTAACATATTAAAATTTGAGGNTACATATTAAAATTTGAGCCAATTAAAATTAAAATTTATTTTTTAACATATTAAAATTTAAGGCTATTAAAAGTCTTTTTACGTATGAAAATTTGAGTCGCTTTGAGCTCTACTTGAGTTCTTATCCCCTATCAAAATTATATTTGAGTAGATTAAAATTTATATTTTTTATTTATTAAAATTTGATTCAAGTTGATTAAAATTTAATGCGAGTTGATTAAAATTTGATTTGAGCCTCGAATAGAATTTTAATCAACTAAAATTTTAATAAGTAAAATTTTTTTTAAAGATAAGATAAACTAGAAAGAGTGTGACTGAAATTTTCCCTTATAATTTTTGTAGGTCATTTTATAACAAAATATTATCATTTTTGTGAGTAATGTTATCACTGCTGTTATAATTGTTTTTTATAATTTTTATGGTACTTGTGATCAATCTTATCATTGATAAAAATATCCACAAAAGTGGGAAAATTCTATAACAACGACAAAAAAAATTTTGGTACCATATTGCCAGTTATCATTTTTATGGGTAAAGTTACAATTTTAAAAAGAGAAGTTACAATGACTCAAGAAAAAACTATGATCGATTATAAAAATCTCGATATCGATCTCAATCTTCCATTATTGATCATACTCTTTAAAGATTTAGCTTACACTTTAAAAAAGTTATAACTTAACCTTAAAATGTTAAAAAAAAAAGCTAATAATAAATTAAAACTAAATGAGTTAATGGAATCGTGTCGTGTTATCTGTTTATTAAACGGTTCATGTTCGTATTGAGGTTTTTCACTTGTTTATTAAACGGGTCGTGTATAAGTTTATATGTTTTTCACCCATCACCTGTTTAACCCAATACGTAACCGTTTAATCTGACACATTTGATACTCCTATTCCTAACAAATCGCTAATTTTGAACAATTTCC